TTTTGATAATATCAAAAATTCATCGAAAAATCAACAGAGATTGCATGGCAGTAACATAACAACAGATTTCCATTGGATCTATGCGATAGTTGTTTAAATAATGGTTGTCTATAAATAGTTGCTGGTGAATGAAGTACCAAGGAAGGACTGCGAAACGCTATGTCCAGGCGAGACTCGGGAAATGCGACGAGTTCTTGGTGGTACAGCTGAGGCTGGCACTGGAGTTACCGGTTCTTCCTCATCCATGTCGCCTCCTGAGCATAAACAGTTGCTGAATTGTGAGTAGGATGAAAAGTCACTACTCACCCATCATTTGTCGCTGCACGAGCAATTTGTACATGCCCTCTTGATTGATGAGCTCTTTATGTGTTCCCATCTGCTCAACTCGACCCTAAAAGATCCTTATAACTTATCGGAGGTGCCTAACATTTCAAAATTTCTGATCCGAGTTCAAGTTACATTATTGATTACGACGATCTTGTCCGCGTTCTCAACTGTGCTAAGGCGATGGGCGATCAGAACCACCGTGCGACCTTTGAGATTCTTCGAGATCGCCTCTTGTACCTGCAAAGAAACTATTGCTTCGCGAGGTTCTCGGGTCTATAAAGACCTTAGGAGAACTGATGGTATGTAGGGATGTGACTTACCAAATGCTCACTTTCCGAATCAAGAGCGGATGTGGCCTCATCGAGCAGCAAAACCACTGGGTCTCGTACCAGCGCTCGAGCAATAGCAATACGTTGTTTCTGTCCACCTAATGGCAATTGATTCATTCACAAAATATTTGCAGATTAAAGAGGAAGTCTTCGTCGTCATCGGGTTGGGATGATGGGTGCAGTGGCTGGTAGCTCCATAGAAAGGCTACCAGTCGAGATTCGTGGCGAGTTTTTGCCCCGCAGGAGGAGCTTGTGTTCGGCGGCATCGAAAGAAGACTTGCGAAAAAGATTAAGGTTCTAGAGTTTCGGGAGAAAGTTAGACTTTCTAAGAAACTTTCACTGAATTTTGCAAAATTTCTGAATTTTCGGAAAGTTCTTCTGTTTTGGCCGAAGTTGGTAGTGACCGTGCCCAAGGTTCTTTTTTTCGAAAGGTAAAGGTAAGTGGGCGAAGGTAAAACTTGTAGGGGCGGCATGGGGGCATACGGACCGCTCCTCGACTTGTAGCTCACCTGACATTTGGCTTCCTTTCTCGCCGACATTCGTGTTGTACCCGTCGCTTGTGTCCATGATAAAGCTGTGGGCATTGGCGAGCTTTGCTGACTAAAAATTAGCGAAATTACGGGAAGAAAGCAAGATTTCAGGGGATGAATGGCTCACGCTATAGAACAAACGGAAATTCAGGTCAATGATCTTTCCCCGAGTATGAGTCATGAACTCCCCACTCCCCCCAAATCCTATTCCTTCACGTCAACCCGTCAAGCAAGTTTTCTCAAGGACATTGAGGAGAGGAGGAGAGGGGTCAGTGTGTATGCAAATGTACACAAATGGAAACGACATAAGTTGCTTAATAGGCTAATCTTAGCTCTTCCTTTTTTCTCGAAGATACTCCTCTATTCATCCCGTCGAAGTTCGTCATTTCCGGCTATTAAGGCTCCCCTCGAAGTGGCACATCTGTTGGTACGGGCCATCGAGAGTAGCACTAGCGTCTGATGAGTTTTGCTCCACAGGTACCACTAAAGTTCAGAATGACATTCCACGGCTGCTAGGTGTGGGTAACGGAGTACAAGGAAGGATTTGTAGGTACCAAACGCCTTGTCACTGAAAATACCAAGAAAACACGTCCACTGAAAATACCAAGAGGGGTTGGCGGACCTACTAAGTTGGTATCCGGAGTCGCTTTTCCCTCTTGGCGGCTTGCAATGTTGGCCGGCCATTGCCCTTCTCCTCCTAGGTGGCCCTTTGGATCTCCCGCCTCCCCCGTACTTCTATTAGCCATAAGCTGCTTTTAACCCTTTCGGACCTGAATTTTTCCCCGTGGAGAAATTTTTCTTCTAGCTATTGTTTATTACTTGTGAGCATATAGGTATCATTATGGCGAAATTTGGAAGCTATTCGATCACAAACAAAGAAACTAAGAAGCTTTGAAAATTGGCCCACCTTCTTAGTTTTTAAGCTTATGTCGAAACAATTCGAAATTTCATAGTTATGCCGAAAAGTTTATAATCTTGCATAACATTATAACCCATAATTTTGATTTAGGAATGGATCTACTTCAAGTATTTTAAGAAAAAGTCACACTTACTTGGCCGGTTGCGGGGGTCAGCGCCCATTCATTGTTGCACTTGTACACAAATACTTGTAATACTAACAGCAACACACAATGAAATGGCAGGTTTAGCTCATAATTAGGAAAGGGGAAGGTTGACTGAAGCAACCTCTAGCAGGATTAGAAAAACCATGCTGTTTCAGCGGCAATGCAAACATTTGAATTTGATGGTGGCAATTGCCACCGCCAGGGCCGAAGATAACTTGTCTCATAACTTGTTACATATCTTTACTCTGAACTCCTGTATAATCCTATGCTTCCCGTATTAATTTGCTGTACACATATATATGCATATATTTATATATTTACACGCTATTGTGTTACTGTTCCCCCATTTAATATAACGTTGTCTCATTTGTGCAATAGTAAATAAATAAATAAATAAAATGCCATAATCTCAAATCAGGTCTTTTTTGCATTTTATTCCAAGCTTATGGTTAGTACGAGCTTATACTAAAGAGACACACAGAGCGATGGCATGAGAAAGAGCACACGTCAAAAGATGAGAGAGCATATGGGCTAGCGAGATGCGGGCACCACCATTGATGCCAGTTCCAAAGTCCATTCATTGATAAGTGATGAAACCACTGTAGCAAAATCAAGCCTCGGTGGCTCTACAGTACAATTTCGCGTAAACGAAAATTTGTACAATCAAAACTGCTCAGTCTACTTTTGTCAGGCAACGAATAACAAAATAAATGCACAAGCTTGCTTTTGTGCCCCACATCGGTCATATGCTACCACCACTGCAGTGGGAGGAGGACAAAAATCCCTTCAAGATTTTTTCATTCGCCATGTTTTGCTCTCGATTAACTCGGCATATCGGTGATGAGTAGTTATTGCCCTGTTAAAAGTGCACAAGGAGGTGGTCGATGACACGCCATCCGCTAACTTCTCGAGCCGAAAAGGATGGAAGTCGAGTTTGTGGATATCCGACCAACGTCGAAACACACCTACAAGTTCTTCGACACTATCTGACTTCTCAAGAAAGCGCTGAGGAGAGGAGATTTCATCAGATCGGTTAAGCTAACAACAAGTACAGTGCAGTACACACTTGAATGGACCTTTCTTAGAGCTCCTGTTCGAAACGTTGTATTGTAGGGAGCTAGCTCCTTCATAATTCACAGGCATTCCTCCCTCCGATTCGTTGTTGGATTTCTGACATGGTTCCGGAAATGAACTGTTCTCGGATCGTTGTCAGGAATGAATGATATTTTTGGATTTTTTGTTTGATCGGCCAGAATTGTTCAAGAAAAGTCCTTTCTGTAAAGCCTTTCTGTATGCAAGAGTCCAAACATGCTAGAGGTAAGAGAACTAATTCATAAAACAAGCGAATTCAGAGGGACTTCGTTCGTCTGGAAAAGGATAGCGTGCGACCCCATCGCGGTGTGCTCTTCTCAGAATGTTTAAATGTGGCGAGAGCTTGTTAGCGAACATAAAAATAACAACCTACCGTTTGCACGTCATCATTGCTGTAGGTATCCACAATCCGTAACCAATATTCTCCGTGACGGATCTGGCGTACAGCACCGGTTCTTGACCGACTAGAGCAACCTGTAGAACTTCATTTTGGCGCTTCGTTACTTAATGAAATACCCACTGTGCTCCTACTTTTGTATGCAGGTACTTGTGGTTATACTCGCGAATAGGAACTCCATCCAGAAGGACCTGAAATAAATGGTTAGAACAATGCTCAATGACAAATAGTTGGGAACTACGTCTCTTGCTTAAGCTGAGTGAGACAACCGTAATGATTACCGTACCTCTCCTCCATTAGGTTCGTAGAAATGCTCCAACATAGCGATACAACTCGATTTTCCGCCACCAGATGGACCCACCAAAGCGACAAGTTGGCCTGGTTCAACGGTGAAAGTGAGGTCCTTCAAAAGAAGATACCTGTGAGAACTTCCAATAACAACATCACTAAAATTGACCTATGGGAGATGTATAATCCCGACCCGAGGTTCTTGGCGTGCGCAATATGCACATTGCTGACGCACGCGGTTGCGGTAGCGGCATGGTATGCTAATGAGACATAGCAACAAATATACTGAAAAGGGCAGAGAGGTGAATGCGTTTGATTAACGGCTATGATAGGGTTTTCCTGGGAAGTGCAAAGAGTGAATCAGCCGCTCCACAACCGCACGCTCACCTGTAGTTGCACCACTACGGGCGAATTGAACCCAATGTGAAGAAAAGATGTCTAACCTGATATGCGGTCACAAAATTGGCAACTTAACGCCCATAATCTTGACTTTGACATCCTTCTCTTCCAGTTCTAGGAGGCAGAACAATTTAACCAGCCCTTATTCCACAGATTTATCTGAAATAACCTTTTGACCACCTTACCCTCACACATTCACCGCTCCTTTCACCAATTGAAGATTTCTCAAAAAAAAACTGAAAAACGTTCCTTACCGTCATGATAGGAAGATATACGAAGTTATCGAATAGGATAGCTGAACTGTACATTCTTGAACTCGATTCGTCCGACAAGCTTCTCTGGAGCGTATGTGCCGTGGTTCTTAACATGAAGAGCTTGCAGAAGCATTTTGCGGATTACGGGTTTGTGGGGTTCATTTCCATACCCTGGCAGCCAGCCACAACGCCTCCGCGTGACTGGCTGCTTGGGTCCTGCAAGAATGGCCCATGTACAGCTCCAACTCAAACCGTATCAAAGAAGGATAGCGATCGAGTATCAAGCTTTTGTACACGCCTGGATGATGTGAACCCAGTGATTGGAAACATGTCGCAGACGAAGTGGTAAAAAACATTGAGCTCAGCCTCTTCGGCTGAGGCCATCGCTTCGATCATCCCCTAATTCCTCGGTGAAACTCCAGTTCGGGGGGGGCCACTCCATTTTTTCTCCAATACTCAAGATAAGGATTAGAGGGCTCACGACACGTAATCGACTCATTTAAAGTAGACTTCTGATAAATATTGGTGTAATGGGTGAGAAACCCTGAAACGTTTTCACATTTCCGCCTGCCATGACCCAAGGGAACGGTCCTGGACCAGGAGAAAGGACACCTCCGCAAAGGCTAAGGGTGCAGGAGCTCCAGGGTGGATCACCTGTGCAGAAAAGTGGATGGGATGTGGGCAGGTAGTGTGGAATGTAGGACATCCACCGGTCCTTATCAAAAGTACGCTCGAAATGAGTCGTTCACTTATTATCTTATCCGTAGTGTTCGATAGCCCAAAGAACTGCTCTCTAGTACTACGGATAAGATAGCAATGGAGTGGCCCCCCCCCCCCGAACTGGAGTTTCACCTCTACTCATCCCAACTGTACTTTCTATTGCTGGGATATCGGTAGGCAAACCTTGACTCTTGGATCGCGATCAATGAATTCGAAGACTTTTCTTGAAGCACCGACGGCCTGCATCAGTCCATTCCACACCTCACCTAACTCCTGAACAAAATTTAGGGAGTCTCTTCTCACATGCGTTCAGGAAAACAATAAGTGTCACTTACTCTGAGATTCTCTCCAAGTTGAAATTGATACAGTAAGAACGAGACGAGTAGCCCTGATTCGATCTGAAAATACTTGGAATGCATCGAAAGTAAAGAGCTCGTTTATGGTTACGATGACGCAGAGGACCCTTTGACGACCTACTCCATATCTATTCCTATTTAAAGCAACAGTCCAGGCAGGGTTTCAACTACTTGGTCATTAGGCGGTCAAAACATGCCCCAGCCCAACTAAAGTTTATAGGAAATGTCTTTAATTTCAAAACCTACCTCTAAAATGCGCTGGAAGGGGTCGAAGTCCTCTTGGAGGGGGCGGATCACCCATAAAGAGGCGGATCGCCCAACATACGCTGTGCAGAGCGCTTGCTCGACTAGCGGTCGTTGCGGGACCGCCGCGCTGTATGAGGTCGATTCCATAAGAACGCAATTGAAGCGCTTCAATTTCGATTGCTGGCAAATAGTTATGTATTTGCAAGCATGCATGGCTATTTGCCAGCAGTTGCAATTGGAGCGCATGTACTACGGGCAGGTTCGGACAACTCGTCCAACACACGTCTCCCTAAACGGCAGGGGGAGTCCCTGTCTAAGCCCCTGCCCGACGTTTTTTTCTACTTTTTCTTTCTCCATTGACCAACTTCTCACCTGCAACGTCATTATAGGTGGTCCTTACCCGCGAATTCGTTCCTGGATTGTTGCTTTAAATCATTTTTTGAGAAGCGCTAAAATGTATGCTATACGAAGTTATTGTAGCGGCATGTGGCGCTGCTTACCATGCGCGGTCCGCGGATTGAACCCTACATCGTGCGCCCTCCAAACCTACCACGCCTTTCACCTCTAGGAGACCATTCAGTTGGTTCCACAGTTGGCTGGGAGGGTCAAAAACACTGACTTTACATAGGCTGCCCCCTTGTAAGGCTAAATTGTAACCGAAGCCATTTTTGATCACGGATGGGAGAAGAAATGGTGGGCGCATTCCAAGAAGGATCGTTAATCGGTGAAGTGTTGTCGCTCCAATATTTCTTCAGAAACCAGGCCAGAGCCAAACCGACACTTGCCCGCCGCCTCCTGTGGGAGATGGGGTGTATGTGTGTGGTAATTGCAGAAAGAGAAAAACGCGAAAAAAGTAAAAATTTCAAAATTTTCTTGAAATTCGCAGGAGTTTTTTTAAACCATAAGTTTTCAAACGAATCCCTTCTCTATGTTCCCCAATGTAACTCAAGAGTATAGCGCCACTTCAAAATTACAATTACGACCCCCTTCCTCCGTTGAAACCCAACGAACAGTTGTCCTGAGTTAAGAACATCCGAGGGATTGTGAGATTCCCATCGACGCCGCTTGACTTCCGCCGCTCCACGCTTAGCTTCGTAGCTTTTTGACCAAATATGGTGTCTGTTATAATAAAATGGCCATTGCGGCGCTACAGCCTGCTCTAAATCTATTTTTGCCCGAAGAGTCCTTTAAAGCTAAGTACTGCTAGCCGCTTTATTCCTATGCTCCTCTCATATGTTTGTGCAGTTTTTGTCAGCGGCATCACTGTGATCAGGGGGCAAGGATTTTCGGACAACCAAGTCCCTGAGGGGTACAGATTCTGGGTTAATTTGCTACCCACTCTGGGTTTCCCCATTAAGGGTTAGTCCAAACTTTTATAACAAGGCAACAATGTACATGGCTTGGCAGTACATTCGTTGGACGCTCTGCACCGCATGCCCCGTCTTATTGGTATAGATCGCATGTGTGATTTAAATATCTTTACGGTTTCGAATGGGAGTCAAAAGTGCAACGCCTTGAGGGAAAGAATTGATCAATGTTCGTTGCGGAGTGAATCAGCTGCTACCATAAGAGGCAATAAACATCAAAACTGAAAAATGAAACTGTTCTCACCCTTCCTTGTATGACGAGATGACCACCGTACCACAGCACAACCGTGAGAATGCCCATTTGAAGCAACTGTAATCAAGAGAATCCGAAAACACTACCTGTGCAACCCATTCCAAGCCAAAGGTGCAGCGACAAATACCACTACTGCACGCTTATATCGTTCTCCAAAAAGGCTAGCAACAAATAATCTTCATAGCAGTAAATAAGTAAACAGTGAGTCAACCAATAAATAGATGAATAAACGTAAATAAATAATTAATTAAATAATTCAATAAACAGTCGAAGTAAAA